CATGAAACTTTGGCCTGGAGCTGTCCAGTTATGTCAGACATCCCACCAAAACCCATAGTTTGCTTCCCTATATCTGGACTCACCAAATCAATGAAGCCTAACGATTAGCCGATGATTGTCATCTAGAAATAGAACAGAAAATAACTCTCAGTATTGGACATTAGGAAAAACTTCCTAACTGCCAGGGTGGTTAAGCACTGGAATAGATTGCCTAGGGAGGTTGTGGAATCTCCATCATTGGAGATTTTTAAGAGCAGGTTAGACAAACACCTGTCAGGGATGGTCTAGATAATACTTAGTCCTCCCATATGTGCAGGGGACTGGACTAGATCACCTCTCAAGGTCCCTTCCAGTTCTATGATTCTATTGTCAGGTGATGACAAGGTCAGCAATATAAATACATCAATTTCTGGTCAGACACTGAGAATCTTAACAAGCAATATGGTATGTGTGCAAAGCGAAGAGTCCAGAAAATCCCCAGTATTGTCAGGTAATGACAAGGTCAGCAGTATAAATACATAATTTTGTGGTCACATACTGAGAACCTTATCAAGCAATATGACATGTTTTCAAAGCAAACAATCCAGAGAATCCCCACTATCTCCATTTGAGCTAAAGTCTGACCCTTTACAGATTTCTAGTGATCTTCAATAGAGTTATCATATTTCAAGTTCCCAAATAAAGGACACTGCCAAGAGGAGGGTGTGGGAGAGTGGGTGCTGGTGGGGACATTTTGGGGATGCTGGAAGGGTGTGTGTGTACTGGGAGTATTGGAGGGATAATTTGGGGGGTGCTGGAAGGGTGTGTACACTGGGAAAAGGTATTTGTGTATGTACTGGGAGGAGAATTTGGAGGGGTGCTGGAGGGGTGTGTGTGTATGTACTGGGAGGGTATATTTGGGGAATGCTGGAGGGTGTATTTTGAGGTGCTGGTGGCTGTGTACATACAGAAAGGAGTATTTGGGGAGTTCTAGAGAGGTGAGTGTGACGGGAGGGGCATTTTGGGGGTGCTAGAGAGGTGTGTGTCCTGGGAGAGGTATTTGGGGATGGTGTGGAGGGGTTATTTGAGGGGTACTGGAGGGATGTTTGTCTACTGGGAAGGATATTTGGGGGGTACTAGAGAAGGATGCTGGAGTGGTATGTGTACTGGGAGAGGGTATTTGGGGATACTGGAAGACTGTGTGTATACTGGAAGGAGTATTTGGGGGTGCTAAAGGGGGATGCTGGAGTGTTGTGTGTGTACTGGGAGGGGGTATTTGGGAGTACTGGAGGGGGTACTTGGGTGGTGCTGAGTTCATGTGTGCACTGGGAGAGGATATTTAGGAGGTGCTGGAGAGGTTTTGGGTACTGGGAGGAGTATTTGGGGGTTGCTGGAGGGGGTGACTTCCGTGACTTCAGCCAGTGGTGGCCAGGAGCTGCAGGGTCTGTTGGGATACCCTGGAGTTTCCTGGCTACCACAGGCAGCAGGGGCCCCCCGGAGCTGCATCTGCCTAGCCACGGCAGGCGGTGTGGGGACCACACAGCTGAGATCCCCATTTTGTTATGGATATTTTTAGTAAAAGTCACGGACAGGTCACAGGCTTCTATGATTTTTTCTTTATTACCCATGACCTATCTGTGACTTTTACTAAAAAATATCCATGACAAAATATTAGTTTTATTCATAGCCACCCACTTTAAACCATCATGGAAAAAATGGCTCATAACCATGAGAGGAATCAATACCAAAACAATCCCTCTTCAGGGACATCTGGGAGGCTCTTCTATCAGCTCCCATTAATACCTCAGCTAGGAATTCCTGAACACTTAGCAGAAACTCTGAACCAAATGCTTAGGGTAAAACACGCCAGATCCCTCTACAGGGAACTTCTGAATCTTCTGTCAGGAGAAAAAATGTTTTGCCGCTCCAAGCAGCTAGAGGGAGCTTGTGCTCCTTAGAGGGTCTTTGTTTTTCTTTTAGTCAGTTAAATGTGTTACCAGAACCTTCCCTGCCACCTCATGGGTGGAAAACTAGAAGTCAGGGGACTGAAGAAGCGAGGAGCAGATGGGAAAGTAGTTGTCAGTTGTTAGCTAAAACAGAATTATTCAGAATTTCTCCACCGCCACTGTGGCTGGTTAATTACTTTAAGAGGGAGCTACACCAGAGGTGTAAAGAAACCGTAATACAGATAGTAAGGAAAGGGCAAAGCGTATTATGGTGACTAATTTGCTGAACATTAAAGTGGATTGTTCCTACAGTACCAAAGTTGCTAAACATAATACTGCTCTAGCTCTGGCACAAAACAAAAGTTAGTGAGGTCCTGTTGTGAACATTTAAAAACTGGACACCAATCTCATCAGTTCCAATTTATTTTAACTTCTTTTGAAGTATATATAAAGGACAGTATAGCATGTGTATATCTTTAATGTAAGCACATACCTATTAGGTTCTCTTTCAGTTTAACACAGGAAGCGCTAGACAACAGAAAGTCTCTCGTCTGCCCCATTTGCTGCTCATTATGTGTCCTGTAGCTGAACTCCCTCCAGGAAGAAACAATTTTAATGTCTTTGTCATTTACATATGCAACATATCCCAAGTCTTGCCAGTATGGGTCACATGCAGCACACATTATAACCTCTAAAACGGGTAACAATAGAGGTAGTGAATAATGAAAACTTGAGAGAAAGAGTCACCTCCCACAAACCATCATGTAATTTCCTGAATGCCGAGTTTGCATGGTATCTTTGTACTTTGTTTTAAGTCATGATTTTTCTTGTCACACAACTGTGATCAGGGATACAATCTGCTGCAAAAGTGAATATGTTAAACAAGCTGCAAAGAGGGGCTCACCTAAAACCATGGATTCCAATCCCCTCAAACTTTGGGAAGTTCAGATATGAACATCACAACTCAGGGCTAGCTCTAATAAAAACTAGAACTCTGAATCCAAACATTCCCCAGAGTAGGGAAAGGGGATCCAAATGTGAACCTAATATTGCAAGGAGAATGTCTATTAATTTTGTGTGTATGCGTGCGCACAGACACACACATGAGACAGACAGCTTTAGAGCCAAAATGAGAGAGTTCTCATGTGATTACTTCATTAAGCCGGTACTTCAGTTGTACTCCTAGCTGGCATCACTATAGACAGGGTTAGATTCCATCCTTGTGGCTTCATGCAGCCTTTTGGGGCACTAATATGATTCCAAATTAAATAATCCCTCTGGAGACTCTTGCAGTAGAAAAAATCAGAATATTAGTTGCAATTCACAGAGCGGTTTTGCCTTAGGAATTTTAATATACATTTCATTGATCGTAAGTGAGAGGATGACCAAAACTGCTGGTAAAGAAATGAAAATGAGCTGCTAGTTTTATGGTGAAAGTGGAGTGATCATGAACTAAAGGCATTGAATAAGATGTGTGGGGTTCTGTCTCCTCAGGACTAAAATGATTTAATGATAGAAGATAATGACATTAATATAATTGGTCACTTTTCTACAATGGGGATTTGGATGCTTGTTAGTTGCTGACTGTACTTAAACACATAAATGTGCCATATGTCAATAAGACAGCTAGATACTTTTAAAAGCTCCAAAGGAATTTGCTGATTTCCGGATGTGGCAAATCATCCACTAATTATTGTACACACTATGTGCAGTTCAGCAGCTGCTGTGTGTTACAGTATAATTATAGGATAAGTTTTAAAATATGGAGGGTTTTCTACTGTCTGAAATAACATATTTTCCAACATATTTCAAATAACAATGAGATGCAGATACACTTGTATTTAAATATAGGCTGAAGAGAAATGCTTTGACTCAGATCTTCCATGTGCATCACTTAATGTGTTCAATTCATTTGATTGTTGTTGCTCTAGTTACTCATTTTAATTGTATGAGTTTGGCATCAACTTGTCTGTAATGCCAAGGGACAAGTGAAGGAGGAAAACAAATGGGACAGCTTGTTTTTTTAAGAGTCAGATGGGCACAGTGAGAACTGATGTAAGCAAGTCAATTGTGTTACAATGAAGTCAGTATTGCTGAAGTCACTGGAGAGCACCAGTTTACACCAAAGCCTCAACTTCAAAGACTTCACATCCATCAGTCCTGTGCTTAGGGAACCTCAAGCCTCAACCTCAAGCAGGAAACCAATCCACTCCGTGCAATCTGTAAATAGAAATTGGGCTACAGTTCCTTCCATAATAAGGGTCACACTTGGGGCCTGCTGCTTCTGTTGAAATCAGTGGGGGACGCACCTCCCTCCCACGCCCCAAGAGTTCAAAGGTAGAGTGCGGTGAAGTGAGCTGTAGCTCACGAAAGCTTATGCTCAAATAAATTTGTTAGTCTCTAAGGTGCCACAAGTCCTCCTTTTCTTAGTGCAGTTGTCGTTACCACAAATGATGATTTTCACCACCACATGGCCACATCCAACACTGGGCTCAGAAATATCATTAGCAACTACTTAAAGCCCAGGCAGAAAGTTTGACTTGTATTCTGCTGTTCATTTCCTAAAATTGCAGATGAAGAGTGATACAAAACCCAGTCAAGTAACAGATCAAACTCTGACGTGTTTCTACCTCCCACCAGTTTTTATCCAAACCTCCCTGATTTCAATGAAAGCTCCTGAAGAGAGGAGAATATAGCTGGAAAGTCTGTGATAGAACAAGACAGGAGATCTACCATGCAAGATGGTTTATCACTTCTTTTTAAATAATCCATTAGCCAGTGCTTGTTAATCTGTGACATTCCAGGTTAAATTCGTAACTGCATGGTATGTGTGAGCTACCTGCCAGAAATGTTACCAAATGCTAGTCATAAAAAGTTAAGCTTTAACTCAGGCTAGATAGCCTAGTGACTTCATAAACTAAGGGCAAATTTTAAAAAATAATTGCTTGATTCAGAACTTCAGACAATACACTGGTCTCAATCTAGATTAACCCTTTAATTTGTTTTTTAAAATATATATTTTCTTGAAAATATTTCTTGATGAAAAAAATATTTTCTTTTTTTCTCTCTTTTCAGAATATATCAGACTATGAGTTGAACAAATTCAATGTAATGCACCAACCGTAAGTCTCTTGTTCCTTTCTGCTTCCCCATTAAATAACCATTGTTCCTTTGCATATTGTCACTCTTTTTGTGGTAAATAGGTTGACACTGAGAATTGTAAGCTCCTGTCCACTGCATAGTAAAGATTGTAAGTAATTTGGGCTGAACTTTCCCAAAAAGAAAGGTGATAAAATATTTGCAAGAATACTGACCCAGATCAGCTGACAAAATAGTCATTTCAGTTGCAGCAGCAGTTATTCTTGTGCAACAGAACGCTATCAGGGAGAACCACAAGAGGAAGAAAAGTACAAAGTTCAACTTTAACATTCAGCTTTTCAGGTACACCAAGCAGGTTTCATTTTGCACTGATTTTCAGTTGAGTTCATTTCCCAGATAGGCATCATAGTAAGTGGCCAGGTTTTCAATGGAGCTCTGCAAATAATATGATATTTTGAAAATCTTGTGCACCACTGATTGCTGCTGCGTGTGTCCCTTATTTAAGTACATGCATGGGAGCAGAGTTCTTTTGAAAATCTGGGTTGTGATCTTCTGAAACTCATGTGAACTCTGCAAGAGCAACATTGCTATGATAATCCACAATGTGCATAGACTGCAGATAAAGAATCAGTTCAGTGAGGTAATGCTGATAGCATGGAAACCACATTGCCTATTGCTGTATATTATTCAGAACAGAGCCCAAATAATAACCATTTACCCAAACACTTTCACTGGGTGTTTGGATAAAATCAGGTCCAAATCCAAACCATTCAAGTTTTCTTTTCGGCAATCTCTATTTTTCAGTCAATTTAAAATCTACCTTCCTTTTGTATGAGATGGCTCAGAGGATTGGTAATGAGCTTAGAGGGGCTAGGTCACACAATCATATCTAGCACAGGCTGCAAATGACCAGAAGTTATTACTATTCAACAGCCTATGTGAAACAAATGTGTGGGTGATCTCCATAAAGCTCCGAATGAGTGAATGTCATACACATATCATTTGGTACAATATTTATAGGCAACTCCCCATGGTAATATTTTATATTTAATTATCCTTTAGAATACCAGTAGTATTGTAAAATTATAAAACAAGCAATTTTGATTCTAAGGTTATGAAACGCTTACACACACAATTTGTGGCCACTTGAATCTGTCTAATATTTTTAATATTTTGGGATATTCTCTCTCTTGGATGCCTTTGGACACACAGAAATATCAGTGTGTTTTCTCTGTGAAACAATGAAAGCAGGAAGACATGGATATTAGCTGATAAAACGTACACTGTCAACTATGATGAAGCATGTATTTTACCTCCTGGCTTTTTATCCTGTGTTATATCTTTTTCTTATCTCTGATAAAACACTATATCTGCTTTAAGAACAGAGCTATCTTCCAACGTCTCTCTCCCTGTCAATAAGAAGCTTGTTTTTCCCCATCATAACTTCATTCCTACTGATAAGACTTTGAAAACAAAGGAAGTTAATATTTCCCTGGACTTGTTTTAATAATTAACTAAATGAATAAGGAAATGTTAGGAGGACCTTCATGTAAAGTAATTAAAATCTAATGGGATGTCATTTCATTAGGAAAATCAGAGAACATTAATAATAAGTTGACTGAAGCTGCGACCTTTGTTTCTGTGATACACAAAGCACACACTCAAAAAGTTGGCCCATTTTTCTATGAAAAAGTTTCACATGCGAAAAAAAGCAAAGAAAATGGATGATGGAAAATATGTAAGGGTTTGCTTGTTTGTAGAGTTTTCTGGTTTTTCATACAAAATGGCTTCTTTAAAAACACATCAAATGCATGAAGAATATTTGTTTTTAAGTCTGAGATATTTAAACCAAAATGTTATTTGCTTTTTAGCAGTTTAAAATGAAAGGGAGACACCCCTTGAAATTTGCTGAGGCGTGAAGCAAAAGAGAACAAATGATTTTTTACACAGAAAGTTAGCCATAAATGTGCAACTTTAATGAAGGTAACATAACAACAATCTAATGCTCGGTGAACAATACCCCAGGCAGTGGTTGAAAGATGGGGAGAACCATGGTGGCCCCATTCCATTACTGGAATCCCAGTTTTCAGGACTCACATAGTACTGCATTCTTGAATGTCCAAGGCCTAAACTGGCTCACCTAACCCCAAAGCCTATATGAGCTTTTCTAATTAAGTTTGCGGTCACAGCAGGTCCCCCACAACTGATTTATTCCTAATAATAGAATACAGGAACACAAACTGCCATACAAGATCTGACCAGTAGTCCAGCTAGCCGTATATTCTCTCTGGCCAATATCAGATGCCTCAGTAGAAGGTGCAAGAAACCCTGCAGCAGACAGCTATAAAATAACCTACCCATAGGGAAAGTTTCTTCTTAACCTCCATTAGTTACAAGTTGATTTATGGCCTCGGACTCCCATAGACATAGGCACCCCTTCCAAACTCTTGGCCTTCACTTTGTGTATTTTTTAAATCCTTTTTACTGTAGCTCTAGATGTAACTCTAGATCAGTGGTTCTCAACCAGGGGGCCGGGGGGCCGAGCAGGTTTCAGGGGGTTCACCAAGCAGGACCAGTGTTAGACTTGCTGGGGTCCAGGGCAGAAAGCCGAAGTCTCACTGCCTGGGGCTGAAGCCCGGGGCCCTGAGCCCCGCCACCTACGGCTGAAGCAGACGCCTGAGCAGCTTAGTTTCACAGGGCCCCCTGTGGTGTGGGGCCCTGAGCAATTGCCCTGCTTGCTATCCCTTAATGCCGACCCTGGCTTTAATATGCAGACAACCAGTTGTTGTGGCACAGGTGGGCCGTGGAGTTTTTATAGCATGTTTGGGGGGGGCCTCAGAAAGAAAAAGGTTGAGAACCCCTGCTCTAGATAACCATAAAACTGGAAAGATGCTGAGGCTAGAAAACTAAGACCAGTCTGAGGGCTAAAACTTGTAGTTATTCTACGTTATAGTATGTGATCCTGCAAGAACTCACAAATTAACCAAGGGCAGGCTGCATCAGTGTATAGGTGGGAGTCCAAGTAATCCCCTGGGTGCTGCAGTAAGTGGTGGTGGTGATTCAGTAGAAGACTCTCCTTCCCTCCCAGTTAGTACTGAACATACACCCCAATAGGAAAAGGTAAAGCAAAAATTACAAACTTTATGCTATGGGAAAGATTGGTTGTAGTCATTCTGCTTCTAGCGGACACTCTGAAACAGACCTTGTCTACATTAGACTTCTCTGGGAAACCTCCCAGTGTGTATTCCACTAGTAGAGCTCTACTAGCATTGACAACATTGGCAGTGCTGGTGTAGAGCTACATTCCCGAGGACTTACAATCATGTCATCTAGACCTAAGCACAGTTAGTGGACACAGTAGTAAAATCACCAATTACCTGTCTATACGAGCACTCCGACCTGTGGTTATGCAATAATGAGAAATATCCCCAGTGACACAGAGGCTCCTTGGCAAAGGCTCCCTTGTTCTTTGCAGAAAACTCTCATCTCAGCCCCGACAAACTCTGCACCAAACATGTCTTACAGGATATTTATCCATAAAGAATAACATGCAGGGTATCAACAGAAAGCTTGTAACTTGTTAAGATTCATAATCATTGAGAGAAATATGTATGGGTAATACTAAGAAATAATGTATTTATATTGAAAGTAAGGTTTATATGGACTTGGAGTAAAAAGTTAGTCACCACGGGACAATACATGAGTGGGTAATTGTCCATTAAGGCAGGGGGGGATTGTCACCTCACACTGGTGAGTCCATGACATTGCAAGGCTCAATTGTATAGCCTTGTTCCATCCCAAGACTTTCAATGGAAAGCCACCAGAGACAATTTCCAACAATTGAAACCACTTGGAGTTAAAAAAGGAACATTACATCAAACGGGATCACCCTGCCTATGAATAAAGACAAAAGACTGTTTCAGTACAACATGGAGTGGGGAAAGGCAGAACTCTGGATTCTTGTACTGAGCAGACATCTTAGGGAGCAGGAATTTTCTCATGAAAAATGGGCCCCTGGTTCCTGTGAAGCCAGCCAACTCTACAACAGACTGAACTTTGGAAGAAACCCTTTATTAGATAGGAAAGGTAACTATTGCTGAGTGTAGACCCAGGTTCACATTTTATTATTTTGTTTTCTATTCCATCACTTTCTTGTGTTTCTAGCAGAATTTCTATTCTTTCTTAAGGAAACCTTTTGTTTCATTACAAGTACGCAGTTATACAGTATCAGGGAGTTTAAGGTAAAACTGGTAAAATGGGGTACAACTGCTCCTTTGTGCAGGGAAGAGGATTTGATATTTCTGTGAGTAGCCAGTGTCAGGGATTCGAGAACTGGAGTGTTCTTCTTGGTAACCTGCGAGGCAAAGACAGTGCTTGAGTCGCTGAAAGGCTGGTGATGTTAGGGACCTAACACCCAGGCAGGCAGACACAGGGAAGACTCCCTCACTCCAGAAGCAGAAGGTAACAAGATGACTCTCAGTGCTGGGTGTCCTGAGAACTGTCACACCCCACTCCCCCACAAAAAAAAAGTCTAATGGAGATGCAGCCTTTGAGCACTTCAGAAGCAGTCCTAGGGGGCATATACTTATCCCCTGGGTTACGGCTGCTGAGGTAGCATCTTGATTTGCTCTCCAGTTATGCATTCCAGTCAGCCTTGGCTACAGGTTTAAATTCTCTGGAAGGAGTTCTGCAGAGTCCACTCTTCTGGGAGTCTGGTGAAATATGTTTTCAGACAGTGGGACATTTCTATTTTTCACTCTGCAAATCAGACTATAGGTCAGACACTGTCACTCCGATACCCTGGAGTCCTCCTGAAATTCTCAGGTATTTGACAACACTAGTATTTGACAACTAGCTAGTGGAGGTGGTATACCCAGCTGTTGTGGTCAAAAGCAGCTTTATTCAGGGTTGAAATTCATTGCAGAAAAAAAAAAAGATATCCAGAATAGGACATTACTTTCAAGAATGTTGTCTAAGACACATCAGTTTCCACTCTTGGGGAAACGTATCAAAAAGCCTCGCA